CTGAGGGTTGCTGGAGGGGGGTAGGGGGGTGAGGGGATGGGGTAACCGGGTGATGGACATTGGGGAGGGTACATGTTATAATGAGCACTGGGTATAAGACTGATGAATCACAGACCTGTACCCCTGAAACAAATAATGCATTATATGTTAATTAACTGAATTTGAATTAAAAATAATAGAAAAAATAAAATAAATAAAATCCAAACAACAACAACAAACTTCGCCTTGTATCTCTGCCAAACCAGTATATCTTATGGAACTATCCAATATTCTCTCAAAGATTTAGAAACAGAGATATTCCAAACAGGAATAATTTCAAGGAATTTAAACAAGTCCTTTCCAATATTTATGTCTTGCATGTTCCTTCCTTTCTTCTTTCCTTTTTCTCTGTGCATGCAAGTATGCATGTGTGCGTGTGTTTGTTATTTTAGGGGTATGGTCTTTAGAATAATGTTGAATATATAAGTGCAATACCAGGGTGCCTGGGTGGATCAGTTGGTTGAGCAACTGCCTTTAGCTCAGGTCATGATCCTGGGGGTCCCGGGATCTAGTCCCACACCAGGCTCTCTGCTCAGAGAAGAGTCTGCTTCTCTCTCTGACCCTCCCCCTCCTCATGCTCTCTCTCTCTCTCTCTCTCTCAAATAAATAAAATCTTAAAAAAAAAAGTGCAATACCAGCTGAGTAAAAATAATTTTGACCCTTTACTCTAGCAACATCTCAAAAACTACCTAAGAGTTGGGAGGAAAAAACCTTATTTTGATAAAACTTTCTCTTAGAAACCCTGAGCAAACATTGTATTTATTGGCAGAATACCAGAAAAACCCCAGGTTGTACCTACAGCCTTTCCTTGGAATTTTTTAAGCCTATATTGGGAGTCATGATCCTTTCATTTGTTCAAAACTTGTTTATTTATGCTCTTTGTTTTTCATTATTCAGAGTTACTAAAGAACATCTTGTTCACAGTGTTATGCAAATTAACTTGAGAGGCAATATCATTTTTAGATGTTCTTGGAAGGTTTTATTAAGAAGGGAAGTACTAGTGTTTTGATGGATTCTTTGGGGCCAGAGGAAATTTGCACACCATCTGCCTCTGAGCCTGGTGAGCCTTGTTCCCTGGGCTCATCTTCACTTCTGCGATCACGAGGTTCACTTCCTTATGTCCTTCTTGTTTCTGCTCAGGTGTCATCTCATCAAGGTTTCTTGATGAACACTATTTGCACCCCGGCAGTCCTCAGGACGCTAAAGAGCACCACCTGGAGTAGGGTATTTTTCACACCGTTTCTAAGTTGATTTATTTTCTGTCTCCTTATACTAGAATACAAACTCAGGGATGTGACAACTCTTCTCTTTAGTTCACTGACAAACTGTTCTGAGAATAGCATCTTGAACAGAGTAAGTGCTTAATAAATACATATTGAAAGAATGAACACTTGGCAAGTAACAAGCACCTAGCGGGAGTATAGTGGGAATAAAAATGAACGGTTTCAGGGCGCCTGTGTGGCTCAGTAGGTTAAAACCTCTGCCTTCGCTCAGGTCATGATCTCAGGGTCCTGGGATCAAGCCCCGCATCGGGCTCTCTGCTCTGCGGGAAGCCTGCTTCCTCCTCTCTCTCTGACTGCCTGCCTACTTGTGATCTCTGTCAAATTAAAAAAAAAAAAAAAAGAATGAACGGGTTCTTCTCTCTGTGGTACCATCCTTAGCGATCTAGAACAGATGAGTGGGGTCCCCTCAGAGTCTATGATTTAGTAATTCTGGTTTGGGACCCAAGAACCTGCACATTCTAGTAAATTACCTGGTGATCCTCTTTGGGCTGGTCAGGAACCCACAGACTTTGACAAAAACAAATTTAGAAGGACTTTGGGGGTTAATGAAGACAAATTTTTATATCATTCAAAACTATTATTTGAACAAATTATTTAGATTCTTTATTGAATCAGTTCATTTTCTTCCTCTTTACATTTCTTTAGGAATCAGGAATTTATCCTAGATGATAATTTTTATGTTATTTCCTATTGAATATCTAATTAAAACAAATGTTATAACCATAATCAGGATTCTAGAATCAACTCAGTCTAATGTAGTGATTATATATATAATACATATAATGCTGTCTTTACCTGGGTTCGGATTAAATTATCTCAAAGGTTAGTAGAAGAGTCCTGTATTGAGCCAGTATTAAAAATCTCTATTGGTGGGGCACCTGGGTGGTTCATTGGATTAAGAAACTGCCTTCGGCTCGGGTCATGATCTCAGGGTCCTGGGATCGAGACCCATGTCAGGATCTCTGCTCCGCAGAGAGCCTGCTTCCCCCCTCTGTCTCTGCTTGCCTCTCTGCCTACTTGTGATTGCTCTCTGTTAAATAAATAAATAAAATCTTTAAAAAGAAAAAAAAATCTCTATTGGTAAAAAAAAAAAAATCTCTATTGGGGACATCTGGCTGGCTCAGTTGGTTGAGTGTCTGCCTTCGGCTGAGGTCATCATCTCAGAGTCCTGGGATCAAGTCCCACATCAAGCTCCTTGCTCATCAGGGAGCCTGCTTCTCCCTCTGCCTGCCTCTCTCCCTGCTTGTGCTCTATCTCTCTGACAAATAAATAAATAAAATCTTTAAAATCAATCAATCAATCAATCAATCAATCAATCAATCTCTGTATTGAAGTTAAAAGTCCATTATATTAAAGGGGCAAGGAAACTAACATTCTGGACCTGTCTTAGGCTCACTTAACATAATCTCATTTTCATGCTGGGAAAGTCCCTACATATTTTGGAGCAGCTTTTGTCTTTTCCACATGGAGGACACTGGCTAAGAGGCTACTTGCTTCTTAAACTCTCCCAGCTAGGTAAAAGTTAGAGCAGGCGGTCACAGCAATCTCAGACCACCGTGCCCCCAACCCCAGGACAAACACAGTGAATTTTGCTCATTGGGTTTCGAACCCACTGTGCTGGAAGAGATGGATAGAAAGCAAAGTTCTGAGGCACAAGAGGACTGTGGAAAAGTAACTAATTCATATTTTGTTGCAACAAAACTGACTCAGCCTGAGGTTGAAGTCATGTTAATGAGTCTTAGGTTCAGTAACAGAGTAAGTGATACATTCAAACAGGGTTTTAACTTTTCATGTACCCCTTCATTTCAGTATCAATACTTGGTATTCAGGGCTGAGCTCTATCTCAAATATGATGGTATAATATAGGAGAAAGTCACCTTAAAAGAAGACAGACAGACAAGACAACCGGAAATTCCTAATGCATCACTTCTCATGTGCAGGAAGTAGTCCTTGCTCATAAATGTGTATCTAGATGTGGCCATTATTTAGCTTCTTCTTCCAAGAGAGCCCAAGTTGCAGCCACCCTAGACCACTGGCCACCTTCTCTCCATACCCCCCAAGTGCTGCTGTCATATTTTCTCTTCTCTCTGTGATACCAACATCTGTCCTCGCGGGATAGGTTTTGTTAGTACTTTTGTTTGCTTACTTTGCTATGTCTGCTTTTCCTATTACTCATTAAAAGGAATAAAACAATTCTTTCTAAATCTTGAGGAAATTAAAACTTTCAATAAATGTCATAAAGTTCTAGAACCCTAATTCTTGATTTATAGTTCTTGGTGCCTGTGGAGAAGGCCACCTAAAGTTTTGTGGCCCTCTAGGCTTCTGCTGTGGTCTCCCATGTAGGAACCCATCAGATCTCCCAAGTAGCCTATGGGCTGGAGAGCACATCAGGGCAGGGTCACCAGAGCAGACTTGTCTCAGGTGGGCCATGGGGATTTCAGGGGACTTTCCCCTGTGTGCCATACATCACCAGGAAAACTTCTCTCACATCACTGAAAGAATATCCCTAGACTTACCTTCCTCATTTTTCACACACAAAATTCTTTTTAATCCCTTAAGATTTAAATCAAAGTGCCCTCTCATTCTAGATTCTAGAAAGACCTCGATTTTTTTTTCTGTGATATCAGTTCCTTTCAGTTACCCCATTTTATTAGGTCCTAGAACTGTCATTTATATCAGTGTCTACCTCAATTAATATTAAGCACCTTTAAATTGGATACAGAGCTTTCTCTTATTTTATCCTTCCGTAATTTCACAGGGTGCCTTCCTGAGTTACATAATAACATATATGCCAAACAGGACAACTATGTGACCCAATCTCATTTTAAAATCATATTAGCTGATGCTTTTGGATTATGAGTATCCAAAATTATATCTGCCTCATTTAACCTAAAAAAACCTGAAAGTTAAACTGGATTATAAAGTATCTGAAAATAATTTTGGTGGATCAATTCTGTTCAACCTGGTAGTCTTTTTCACTGATGTAAAATGGAACAAAGTCAGATATTTAGAAAAGCTGCTTTTTTATATTTGTGCTGTTTTTTAAAATAGGACATCCCCCAAACTAAGAACAGAGTCAGCTTACTGTATTATTTAAAAGAAAAAAAAATGCAGTATTGCATTTCTTAGTAATTGATTGTTTCTTTTCTTTTTCTTTCTTTTTTTGGGGGGGAGGGGGCAAGTCATATACATGCCATCTTTATAGCACACAAAGATGGTTATTCACATAACATCTTCTTAATATACTCAAATCCCAAAATAATATTTCCTCTAAGACAAATATCATATTATCATAAACTAGGCACCACAAAATAAGAGATATTCTAATACTGTATTGAAAGGAAATTGTTTTGAGCTCTAAGTGCTTAGAGAACAAGTAAATGCGTCTGCCTATAATTTTCAATCAGTCACTCTATTGTTCACAGAAGTAGATGACAGTATAAAAACCCTGTAAGTATTTTATTCAGAAGAAGAAAAGGAACATAAAGAATCTGAGGCTTAGGTAGGCTGACAGGTTGATTTAGTAGCACCAGGAACTTGCTGTTTTTCAGACATAATTACAATACCTCTATTATGTAACAGAACAATGATTTCAAGGATTTATGATAAACACATGCAGTAGCAAAAATAAATTAATAAATTAATTAAGAAAAATAAAATCCCTTTCAGTGTTCTTACCTGCAGGTAGATCCTGCATTTTGGGGATATGAAAATGCTCCTTGAAGTGCCTCAGCTTATCTTCCTCATCAAGGTGGAGGGCGACTCTCTCATCTGTCGGGTGACATCCAAGTTCAGATGCAATGCGTTGCACTGTGTCAGCTGGTAACTCAAGAGATGAAGGCTCCATTACAAGTTGTTTCTCTAAAAATGAAAATAAACAATTAAAAATAATTTAGCCACCATCATTTTTTTTCTGTAGAAAATTAGCCAAGCCTTTGTCTTAAATGAGATTCTCATCTTCCCAACCTCAGAGTAATATAATTAATCAAACAGCATTAAGCCTCATGCTTGAGTTTTTCTCATGTATGAAATAAAGAAAATTATAGTAACTTGGGGATGTTGAAAGACATGTAGGTAATAGTGATGAGGACAGAGTAAGGGCTTAATAAATGTTAGCTCTTTCTATTCTTATTTCCTGGAAAAGGGCCCGCATTAGTGTCTTTCAAACATATATAAGTTCATCACCTTTTCCTCTAGATGTCTTACTGGGGATAACAGTAAAGATGCTTTTGTAAAAGTGTAGAGAAACAGTAACCCACCTAGCTTATCCTTCTTCCTATCCCACTTTCATTATTTTACTCCCAGTGGTTCTTGGATCACTGTTTTAAAATTAGGCACACATATACAACAGAACCATAACAAATTCTTCATTGTGAATAAAAACAATATTGATTAAAAAGGTAATTTTACTTTAACTAATGTTAATACTTTTTGCTATGTGAGGAGCAAAGAGCTTTTCTGGCTACCGATAAAGAGAAACTTCTCTTTCAAAAACTATATATTCCAGGACCACCTGGGTGGCTCAGTTGGTTGGGCCTCTGACTTCGGCTCAAGTCATGATCCCGTGGCCCTGGGATCGAGCCTCCCAGCAGACTCGTGCTCAGTGGAATCTGCTTCTCCTCCTTCTCTGCTCCTACCCCTGCCCTGTGCACACCCTCCCTCACTCACTATTTCAAATAAATACATAAAATCTTAAAAAAAAAAAAATCTATGTATTTTCCATCTTAGAACAAAGCAGGACCCTGTGACATTTTCTGAAAACTACATTTTGATCTGTTTAATCATTTAAAATTTCTCACAATTTTGGAAAGGAAGGTTAATTTTCTGGAGGGGAAAAAGTAACAATAGAAAATTAACTACATATTCTTAAACTTTATCCAAACTTTCTTTATATTGATTTATTTATATTTCCCAAAATTTTAGGTTTTTTTTGAAATTGAGCAAGAATAGTATCAAGAGGAAAAAAATTTCTCAGGTAGCGTGATTTACAAATTTATACTTTTGGGGCTCCACTCATGCATTCCTCTATTCATTTCTCTTTCTACGAGCACTTGTGGAACACCAACCATATCTCTAAGCACTGATGAAACAGCACTGTGAAAGATGGTACATAAGTAATTCATTTGTAGACCTTACTTTTTAGTGGAAAATGAAAATTTATAATTAAATAATGTAATTTCAGAGAGTTTCAAGAGCTATGAATTAAAAAAGCAGAGTCATGGGATGGAGAGTCACTAGGGTATGGAATGACTTCCTCAGAGAGAGGGTGAAGTGCATCTCTCTGAGGCAGGGATCTACGTGCATATCTGATTCATGTTATGGAATCGAACATGTGAAGACCAGGACCCGAAGATGACAGAGAGTACAAAGATCCTGCGGTGGGGACAGGCTGGCCTGTTCAGTTAATGCAGTATGGAAATTAGAGGAAAAGGAGACACTATGAGGTAAAAAAGGCAGGGCCAGAAGTTAATTATGAAGAACTCTGAAGCCAGTAAAGGGTTTGGATATTTTTCTAAGTTTAATGGGAAATTGTTGGAGAGTCCTGAGTAGAAAAGTGACAGGGCATAATTCTGCACGAAATAAAAATCATTTTTTCTGCTTTCTGATGAGTCAGAAGGAGTTGGAAAAGAGAGGCAGATTCAGGCTATTTTAGTAGTTTGGGTGAAAATGATGGTGGATTAAATGTGATGAGGAGAAAAGCAGAGAAGTGTGTGGATCCATTAAATATTCTAGAGAAAAGGCAGATAGATTTTCCCTGGATCTGAGCAAACATGTTAAAAGTGGTGCAGTAAGAAACACCTAGGAAAGAAAAATTCTGAGGAGGGAAATCCAAGTTCTATTTAGGATATACGAAGTCTGAGGTAAAAATAACAAACTGGCTATTGGACCTTTGGGTCTGTAGCTCAGAAGAAAATTAGATCACAAGATATAAGCTTGATTATTTTTCAACTCACAGACTGTACTTAAAGCTTAGAAATCCTAAGAACTACCTAAAACTAACAGAGATGAGCCTCTTAAATCTCAAATCAATCATCTGTCTTCTACTCACCATCTTCTTCTCTCCTACCCCAGCCAACACACCCAGTGTTAGGCAATGAAGTGTTGCATGTCTGAATGTTATACCATGCCGGTAAAACAAGCATACTTCCTATTCTACAAGCTGGAATTCTTCTGCTTGTTCATTTGACCTCTTCGTTTCTCAGTTGCCAGGGATCTCCCCTCATAAGCTTGCTGTTCTATTATTCTCAAACAGGATACGGAGTTTGATTTGAGCTTGTTTTTAGCTTTGATAATGGCTTCCAATTGCTCCAATCCACGTTTTTGTGCAAAAGTCAATGATTTCAACATTGGTGTTGACAGTTCTTTCAATATCTGACCATACTTAGTTATTAGTCTTTTTCACAAAATTTCTCTATCTCTGCGGGTTTTTTTCCCCAGGTCATTCCCTTTGACTAAAATGTTCTACTCCCCTTTCTACATATTCACATCCCTAGTCACCTTCAAAGTTCAAACACTATTTGTTCCCCTCCCACGAGGCCTGTCATGTTGTTTCAACTAAAAGTAGTTTTTCCTCCCCTGGATACCTGTAACACTTAAGAGCACACCTTAATTCATAAGTAATGTCTCCTGTCAGATACTGTATTTACTTAGATGCCTCTATGGTTGGGAAAGCTGAAATACGTTGTCATACCATACCATAATCAGAATCTGATTCTGCACGGGTTCCCACCTCTTGCCTTCTGATGAAATAACCTGCTTTCTGAATAGAGATGACACTGTCTCTACCACTTGACATTATCAATTGCCTGGTCACAACTGACTAGACCCCTTCTAGACACTTGACTCACTGGAAACAATGCACTGTTTTGTCAATGGTCTGTGAGTGACTTGCTATGAATGCTTTAGCCAAACAGTCATGATGGTGTTTAGCTGAGCATCTAATAAATTCTTTCAGGAATCTAGCCAGGAGATAGTTATTTATTCAGTTGGAAACAGGAGCAACAATTTTTTAAAACTGTAGAAAGCAGTGTAAGACGGTTGGGTCTAGACGGAGTATTGTCATGAGTGACTCATTTTTTTAAAGTCAAACAGAACCACTGACTGTTAAAATATGAGGTGATTTCAGAAGCAATTATGAATTGAATTAGTTATGCAATGGCAGGGAATGGGACAGCTCTATCTCCTGAAAGGGGAAGGACAAACTAGTCTGGAGAGTCACTGAATCCTTCCTTGCAACAAACTGTATAAGGCCTGGAAGGTCACCTAGAGATTTGGCGGTCCTGAGAATCCCACGAGCTGTTTTCTGCCTATCAAGCCTGTTGTTACTATAAACACATTACTCACGGTGGCTTGATGGAGTTGCTGATCTACCCTACTGAACTACAGATGTTCTACCTGGAGGCTTAAATGCTGTTTAATTCCATCCATCCCCGAGCAGTGGCCTTTAGGTTGAATGTTCCCCTAAAACAGCAATTTAATAAGAATGCACAAAATAGCTTGAATTATTCCACATGATTAATGATTATTCATAAAGGGATGCCCTTCTTACTCTAACCACATGAAATTAATTAGAAAAACATTTTCAGTGACACTAAGAATCAAGAGATCTTGCCTTATATTTAGGAATTTTGTTGGAGAGTCAGATGAGGGTTCACTGGGCTTGACTGTAAATTCTGAACAGGTTACCTAAATATACAGGTTAATTTGCTACCATCATATTCCCAGTAAAATCCAACTTTCTTTGTTTAAAAAAGATACTGGGGGCACCTGGGTGGCTCAGCTGGTTAAGCAACTGCCTTCTGCTCAGGTCAGGATCCTGGAATCCCAGGATCTAGTCCTGTGTCTGGCTCCCTGCTCAGTGGGGAGTTGGCTTCCTCCTCTGACCTTTCCCTATGTCATGCTTGCACTCTCTCTCTCTCAAATAAATAAAATCTTTAAAATAAATAAAACAAAATAAAGATATTCATATTAATCATTAGTATTTTTATATCTGTTTCTTATTTAATCCTCCTAACAATCTTGAGGGATCAGAGTAATTTTCTTCTACTTCCAGACCAACCTCTGGATCAACAGATTAGAAACACAGATTAGAAACAAAAACGTTAAGAGGAGGATAATAGAGTCCACCGTTTGGGACTACACGTCACTTGAGGAACGGAGTCAAACCATGCTTGTCTTTGGCATGGCACATGGGTAGAATGCACAGAACAGAATTCCTCCCCTCTTATTTTATTTGTCCTTTGATCTTACTTTATGATTTTTAAAAAAATATTTCTTTGGCTCATTCTCTTTTTTTGCTAACTATATTATTATTATTTTTTTCAGTCTTGTACTCCATCTGCAAAATACAGCAGGCAATGAATCTAACTACTGTTTTAATCTTTCCAATCTAGTCCCAGCCAGGCAGAGGTTAAAATAAAGAGGCTGGTCTCACTTCTGGGCATCTTACAGCCCAGATGTCACAACCTCACTGGCACAGATACTGAAATACGTGCTGAGGAAACAGAATTTAGGAGAGAACACCCATGGTTTCACCTGCCAAAATGCACTGCCAATGCCAGAAGTGAAGGCAATCCACAGTGACTGACAATACCTGAGTGCCCTCACTCCAAGGAAGTAATTTATTAACTCAGAGTCCTTTGTGGCTTTATTCTGCACTCACCCTCCCAGCCCAGACAATTAATGGGCCTCCTGTAGGTTTACCATTTGCAAATAAATGGCCATGATCTTGCTCTTAAATAAGAAAAATCAATCCAAGTTAAAAAAAGAAAAAAACTCCAAAATTTATATTTCACATGTTTAATTTTGGTTTTATTAAGAAGGCTGGGGGTACCTGGGTGGCTCAGTGGGTTAGAGCCTCT